TTCATATGCCTAATGACTGGTGCACATTTGTGCACTCACGAGGAAGAATAAAGAAGGAGGAATGGTACTTCAATAAACCACACTTTTCTTTCTGAACTGTTACTGAACCAACACCCCAACTTTATACCTGGGAAGCGTCATTGAGCTACAACTGCCAGTTTCTCAGTTAACAAAGCACAAGACAAGGTTTAGCTACTGGTAGTTAGAAGAGACCTGTTGGAGCTTCCCAGTGTGCAGTCTATTAACCTCTATTCTCTGGACACATTAGTATTGGAAAAATTATATTCTGTCTGTTGGGCTACCAGATTCATCTGGAAGTAATCTTCCACATGTAATCTGTATGAATTAAGAGTAAGTGACTACAAGACAACTCCTGTAGAGCTCTACTTCTATGAAACATACCGTTCACGTCTAAAACAGAAATCCTGAATCTACTGAGTTCAAACAGAGCTTGGCTACATAGAAAATGACTTCCCAAAAGGAGAAGATATTTTTGTTTGCTTCATGCTGCAAGACTTATACATTGTCACTCTACAGTATTCAGCAGTCTCAGGATATCTACCAAGAAGCTTTTTCTGAATTGGATAGTATACACAACCACTTCAAATAATTATGAATCTTAATATTTGATTTGTTGAGGGCCTGACTGAAAACCTTTTGGACATTTCCAATGATTTGATGTAGAATTATAGAAGGCCTTAGAGATACTTTTGTATTGCTGTTTACAGCAATCAATCCTGACTTCTTCCTTTGTTAATTAAGAATAAAAATTATATCCTAAATTTTTATGGATTGATCTAATTTTGAAATCTAAGTTCAACCTCACTTCTTTTCTATGGTACAATATCTTAGTTCTCAATTAATGAAAGCTGCAGTGAAGCTGACCACAGTGAATGTGAATCAGCAAAAAGAGATGAAAAATAAATAGGAGTAGCTCAAGCTGTCAGTGAATGGCTAGAACTATTAAGAGTAGTAAGAAACCATTCTTATAATAGAATAAAAATGTACTAAATTGCAATACCAGTGAAACTGTCAATCATATGGTGAAATATTTGAAACAGAATATATCTTGCTTTTTAAAAGAATCAGGATACTGTTTTCCAGTCTTACAGTGATAGCAAAATACTTTTTCCTGCACACATATCTAGGAAGGATATAAAAATCAAATATACTAATAATAACACACTGCAATGTTCACATTGCAAAGTAAAAAAATCAGAGGTCTGTTTATCACAAGATAGAGATTGCCTCTGAAGTTTCATTACTGTATATCATCATCTTGAATAGCATCAAACAGAACTGACTGTTTCTATTTTTAGCTACCTTGAGTAGTATCTTCCTTTTCAGTTAATCCTATTGACATTTACTTGAATATTTATGGAGTAAATTGGTCTCTGGTGTGCACAGTGATTTCAGGATCTAGCTGGCAGATAATTTGGAGTGAGTGAGTAAGCTATGAACAGTGCTTTCTTTTTCTGGTCCCATTCTTGCTCCTCACCTGAGATAAGAGAAATCTCCTTCTTCCCCATGAGTGTCTGACACGCTGACACCCTGAAATTCTGAAGTGTGATGTATTGCTCTCATTGCAGTTTCTACTTTAATGTTCTCATATAACCACATGAAGTTGAACAAGGACAAGTGTAAGGTCTTGCACCTGAGTCAGGGCAATCCCCAATATCAATAGAAACTGGGCAATGAATTGAATGATGGTGTTCCTACAGAGAAGGACTTGGGGATCCTGGTGGATGAAAATTTGGACATGATCTGGCAACGCGTTTTCACAGCCCAGAAAGCCAACCATATCCTGGGTTGCATCAAAAGAAACATGGCCAGCTGGTCAAAGGAGGTGATTCTCCTTCTCTGCTTTCTGCTCTTGTGAGACCCTACCTGCATCCAGACTGTACTGCATCCATTTCTGGGGTCACCAGTACAAGAAGGATGTGGAAACATTAAAGCAGGTTCAGTGGAGGGCCATAAAGATAATAGAGGGCTGGAACACTTTTGTGGAGAAATGCTGAGAGAGTTGGGATTGTTCAGGCTGGAGAAGAGAAGGCTTGTTGGAGACCTTGTTGTGGCCTTTCAATATATAAAGGGGGCTTATAAGAAAGATGGAGAGAGGTCTATAGTGACAGGACAAGGACAGTTTTAAACTGAATGAGGGTAGGTTTAGACTGGATATAAGGAGATACACTTTTTTTTACAATGAGGGTGGTGAGACACTGGAACAGGTTGCCCAGAGAAGTTGTGGATGCCCCATCCCTGGAAGTGGGACTTGGGACAACCTGATTTAATGAAAGATGTCCCTCCCATACAGGGGAGCTCACTTGGGACAACCTGATTTAGTGAAAGATGTCCCTCCCATACAGGGGAGCTCAACTAGATGATCTTTCAAGGTCCTTTTCAACCCAAACCATTCTATGACTTTATATGCGAAGATGAAATCAAAGTGCCAGGAACGATCTGAGTTAGGGAGCTATAAGAACTGGAGCTTTTTAAAAAAAATGGTTGGTGAATAAAAGACACAGGGAATTGGAAAATTTGCCAAATCTGATTTTGACAGAGGACTGAAGCAAGGTTAAAATTTGATGGAGCTACTTGGCATGGAAATTTCAGCTTAAATGCTTAATTAGGGAAAATCTTCTAGTGGCTGAAACAGGGACACAGAATAGTAACTCATTAGACAACCTTATTGTTATTCATCACATCCAATTTCAACTACCAGATCAGTCTCAACAGTCCTAGTCATTCCCCTGATACTCCAGTATTACTGTCACAGAAACTTCATAGGGACAAGCACTTTAAAGGGTATCCTACAATGGTATTATTATGCTTTCTATTTTCAGACGAAGATTAACGTGAGGCAATGTCATTCCTATTTTTCTGGTAGTACACAGATATGTACAATGCAACTCTAATGATGTTTCTCATTCAGTGAGTGGAATTTAGCTGTTAAATTAGTTTACACAGCTACGGAAATCTCCAAAGGGGAAGATGCTAACCAAATAAGTAGGTTTGCCCGAACATTGCAGGAACAGTATATGGTCCCAGATCTGTACTTGCTTACAGTGGTGCACTGCAGCTAACTGTACTGGAAACGTCATTGTGAAATTAAATCATTCAACAAAGTGCTGGTTATGTTCATCCACAATTTCAAGGATCACAGAATCACAGAATTGTGGGGGTTGGAAGGAAATTCTGGAGATCATCTAGTCCAACACCCCCCTGCCAGAGCAGGTTCACAGGATGGCATCCAGATGGGTTTTGAATCTCTCCAGAGATGGAGACTCCACCACCCCTCTGGGTAAAGATGACAATATGCAGTTATTTGGATTTCTGCTAATTCCTTCTAATTCAGAGCATTTTTTTCTATGCACTTCTTACCCATACAGAGTGTCTTTTTAACTTCTGATATTCTGATACTTTTTCTCACTGTGCTTCTGTGTTTTCTTATCTAAATTTTACATTTTTCACCAACCATTTGTTGTACTTGCCCATCCATTTGTTTTTGGAAAGCCGACCTCCCCTCCTGCAGGGCGTTGGCAGTCTCTGCTTCTTGTGGACAGAGACCCTGAGATGCGACTTGTGTAAAAAAGGCAGGCAGACAGCAGTATTGATTGCTCCTACGTGTTTTTTCTGTATACAAGTGCTGTTAGGAGCTTCCAAAAGTGACGAGGGAGCTCTAACAGCTGTCGCAGCTCTCACCTCATGAGAAACCCTGGGTTTATATATATCCTCCTGCACAATCAGCAGGAAAGGCTAAGGTGCCAAACTTGGCAATGAGCTTGGATCAGCTTCTGTTAAGTTTGACGGTGGGAAGTATTTGCTCATACTGCTGTTGTAGATTCAAGCTCTGGGTACATTTACATGTAGTACTTACTTTTAGAGATACTATTTCCAATTCTACCAGGACTGGAAATTAAGCTGAGAAGGCCCAGGTCAACTAATATTAGTGCAATCCTTGCAGAGAGAGGAATCAGCTCTATTTATTCCATAAATAACTCCTTGCTCAGTGCATGTTTCTTCTCACCCTAGTCTTTGCTGAAGTCTTTTCTGGCATTTCTGTAGTGCTGTGGGCAAGGTGAAAGCCAGATTAGTTATGCAGCAAAAACCAAACTAATCCTTGGAGGCTGAGTCTACTTGGGCATGTGTTAATGAACTGCGTGCAGAGCACGTTGCAGATGTTTGGGCAAGCAGACTGCAAAACACAATGCTGTCAATAAAGCTGCAGAACTCGAGGGCTTCAGTGTTTCTTGGGCTGCCTTTATCCAGAGCCGGAGGGCTTCTGTAATGTCTGTTGCTCCCGGTTCCTCCTGAGGGACAGCTTTCTTTAAAGAAAATCAAGGATAAGAGAGAGGCAAGGCCTGTCTGAAGAGACCAGAGGGATCAGTCTGCTGAACTTGATGCCTGAAGGTAGGGAATTCACTGTCAGGTAGCCTGCATAGTAGAGAGGCAGCAATTCTTATTTGAAAATAACGGAGGCAGATGCAACCAAGTCTGTAGCAGTAGTATCTGTTTGTAAATTCTCCCTATACCAGGAAGACTCTTCGCTGTTTTTTATGGCGATGTTTTGCTTTTTTCTAATTTTCTTCCTGATACACTTTTCTAGCAGAGCAAATAATAATCATGATTTATAATCATGTAGCACTATTCTTACCCAACAGAAAACTCAGGCAGGATAGTGCAAGGAATGTCTCGTTTAAGAAAATAGAGTTTTCTCTAAAACTGCTCTGGGAAAATGTGGTATCTCAGCTGATGGCATACCCTGTTCGAGATGTAATGATCTTTGGTTGTAATGGTGATGAACCACTATGCAAGCACATGTCAGGTTTTGACTGCACCTGTTTGCAAACTCAGGTAATTATGCTCCGTTGTCTAATTGCTTATTTTATGGATGTTTTGCTTACATGTTTTTAAGCAATGCTATTTGATTGCAGATAACTAATGGTAGGGATCTCTTCTCATTATCATACTTTAACATTAGATTTGTCTGATTGCTGCAGGTGGAAACAATAGGTGATGCGTACTGCGTTGCAGCAGGGCTCCATAAGAAAAGCCTTAGTCATGCTAAAGCCATTGCCCTGATGGCACTGAAGATGATGGAGCTTTCAGAAGAAGTTCTCACTCCAGATGGAAGCCCTATTAAGGTAACTGCTTTGCTCTTTGTTCTCAGCTAGTTGATGGTACTTTGAGCTGATTAATTCCATTGTGTTCTGTCCGTAGAAATTTGCTTATTGGTAGGAGAATTTCCAATTGCATCAATATATCACAGTCTTTTTAATGGTGTGTGTATTTCAGTGGGGCCCATTAACAATCATGTAAGCTATGCCATACTTTAGTAAGCACAGCTGACCACACAGACTAACTGTTGCCTTGTTATATGCATTGAATGCCTATTGGTGGCTGAAGAGCATTAGATGCACTCCTGGAGCCCTTCTTCCTATTCAGTTTAGCGTAAGAAGACAGTTCACACGATCCAGGACTGTCCCATGCTACAAGTCAAAGCACAGTGCAGTGACAATTGGCAAATTCACTCCAGAAGTAGGCTCCTGATCTCAACTTGAGTATTAGTGTAGAAGCACTCAGAGCTCTGCAGTTCTAAGGGGCCACATGCCTAGTTTCTAAATAGCTGTTGACCTGTATAAAAAAAGAATGTGTAGACTGCCTGCTCTTAGTGTTAATGTGCTTCCTTCCCACGCAACTCCAGTTCCTTCTCCTAGATTGTACAGGAGGTAGCAGTAGATGGAAAACCACTTGTCATTTTGTACCGTTTTAAAGTTCCACTGCTGTTCTGCTTCTCTTGATCTTATGCTAACCTTGTAGCTGCTGGCATTTGGAATTGGTAATGTTTAGGTGGAAAATGGAGATTCAGCAGGGAAGAAAAAGCATGGAGATACAGATGTGCCTTGCTTTTTCAAGGGTCAGATTACATGTTGTTTTCATTATGTGTACTCACTCCTGTTTCTGGTTAAATTGTTCTTCCCATAATACAAACCTTTTGTTTTCAAAGAAAATGGGGGGATTATGTAGAACAATTATTCAACACTGTCTAAAGTCTATAACAAAAGCCATATGCAGCTGGATGAGAAGGCTGGACAGACTTCCCATGGCATGACTTACATCGTGGTTGAAATGCACTTTGTAAACTATAGTTCCTCGTGTCTGTTAAATAATGAGGGTTGCATCTGAAATACTTCCTTTTTTTTTTTTTTCAAAAATGGAAACACCTGTTTTGAAAGTTAAAAACTTGACAGAAAGGAGGTAAAACTTTTAAATTGTTAGAAATGTATTCAAGGATGTTTCTGTGGTGCTCCTTCAGCAGTAAAATTGCATACTTCTCAGCTCCAACTCTTCTCTATCTATTAGTTAGATCATGGCTTGAACTATATTCCATGAAGTCTTTGTGTATGGTGAATCAAGAGAAATTTAATCTAAATTAATTGTTCTGCCCAGAAAAGAGAGTGTGGATGCAAGGCAACCAAGCTAGAAATTCCATGAAATATGGCAACACAATATTCAAATGAAAATATATTGAGTTCTGAATGAAATATTTTTAATTTTGTATATCAATATCGATGATGGATTTTTTTAAATGTCAAAATAAAATATTTGTTTGATTATTGAAAAATACCCACATATTCCAAAGAGCAGCTTTCTGAAAAAGTATCTTGGACTACGGATCTTTAAGAATTTTTTTTTAAAAAATAATTAATTGATCACACAATAAACATTAAAAGACAAATGTCTGAAGATATCAGAAAAGATAGCATTTTCAGTTTTGATACAGGACTGTTTCATAGCATCATAGAATCATAGAATTGCCCAGGCCAGAAGGGACCTCCAAAGGTCATCTAATCTGACCTCCCTGCAGTCAGCAGGGACACCCCCAACTAGACCAGGTTGCCCAGGGCCTCATCAAACCTCACCTTGAATATCTCCAGGGATGGGGCCTCAACCACCTCCCTGGGCAACCTGTTCCAGTGCTCCACCACCCCCACAGTAAAGAACTTTCTCCTAATCTCCAATCGAAATCTGCTCCCCTCCAGTTTAAAGCCATTGCCCCTTGTCCTGTCACTACAGGCCTCTGTAAACAGGCTCTCCCCAGCCTTCCTGTAGGCCCCCTATTAGGTCTCCCTGGAGCCTCCTCTTCTTCAGGCTGAACAACCCCAGCTCCCTCAGCCTGTCCTCGTAGCAGAGGTGCTCCATCCCCCTGATCATCCTCGTGGTCCTCCTCTGGACTCGCTCCATCAGGTCCATGTCTTTCCTATATTGAGGGCTCCAGACCTGCACACAATACTCCAGGTGAGGTCTCACCAGAGCAGAGTAAAGCAGAAGAATCACCTCTCTGGACCTGCTGGCAATGCATCTTTTGATGCAGCCCAGGATGTGACTGGCCTTCTGGGCTGCAAGTGCACCCTGCTTGCTCATGTCCAGCTTCTTGTCCACCAGCACCCCCAAGTCCCTTTCCTCAGGGATGCTTGCTAATACCTCACCCCCTAGTTGGTACTGATGGCAAGGGTAGTTCCGGCCCAGTAAACATACTAATTTAATCCTATTAAAATAGATTTTCTGGATTGTTTGATTTGTCCATTTTTCCAATGACTATAGCTGACTAATACGTTCTAGCTACACTGTCACATGCTGGGAGAGCTGTCTCCCATATCCTCTCCATCTTTTCACTTCCTTTTGAGTGATTGCTGCAATTGTGGGGAGATTTTGAAATTGTATGTTTTACTCTGAGAGACACAATTTGTGACTGTTTTCATTACCAGTGCCATTATTTTTCAGAAAATTCCTCATGATTTCAGTGGCTACATAAGAAAACCTATATATGAAAGACTGTAAAGACAGTGCAGAGGAAAAATGCTTGTATAGAATAAAATGTTAGGCATAATAACCAAATATTTTCAAAAAGTGCTAAAAAACCTCCTTTAGAATTCAGAAGAAATAAGTCAGTTCATAGTAATTAAACTGAAAGGAGAGGTACTGAGAAGCTCCTCAGTGGATGTTAGTTGTCCTGCCTTTAGTTTTAGGTGTAATAGATTTCAAGGCAGGAGGGATGGTGTTATCAACTAATCTCATCTCCTCAGTGACAAAGAACATGATGCTGTTGCCACCTTTCTACCTAACCTGGTAAATCATGTTTTAAAACCTTATCTTTCATAGAGGCATCTTGAATTGATTGTATATATATTAAGGGTAAGATTCCTCTCGCATGGTTGTCTACGCTGTAAAACTATTCAAATAAGGGCTTTTGGAGAAGTCTACTTTAATTTGTCCTAGTTTAGGTGCCTACTCTAGGATGAGATGAATCACGCCCTAAAAATGTGTATTTTCTCAGTTGTCTTTAAGGGGAGTCTATGGACCTAGCCTAAGTGTGGATATCTACACTGTAAGCTTCTACACTCTGTCAGATGAATCCTCCTACAAATAGCAAAGAACACATAGTTTTTCTTAGTGGTTATGTCAATGATCGTCACAGTTAAAAACATATGTATTATTTCTAAATTGAGTTGGCATGAATTTACCTTCCAGCCACTGTTAAATTGGCTAGAATGATCCCTATTTTTGTTAGCTGCCAGTTTTTCACTTTAAAACAAAGGTGAAAGTGCCCATTGTGCCACACATTAACAAATGCTCCATGTGCATATTGATGTCCTAAAGCTGTGTCAGGGGTAGTTCAGGTTGGGTATTAGGAAAAAGTGGTCAAGCACTGGAGGAAGCTACCCAGGGAAGTGTTCATTGCCCCAGGTCTCTCAATTTCTAAGTGTTCAGACAACATTCTTAGATATATGGTTTAACTACTAGGTTGCCCTGTGTGGAGTCAGAGGTTGGACTTGATGATCCTTATGGGTCTCTTCCAACTCAGGATGCTATATTTTCTATAATCTACCTGAAATTTAAGGAACCTCTAGGAATGTGTAATGGTTACTATGGAGTCAGCTCGGAACCATTATAGGAGACTTACTGCGTGACACATTTTACAGTAATGTTTTTCATTGAAATATTTAAATACTCATTAACATTAGATAAAAAGTACACAATGTAGGCTATAAGACAGTAATTCACTTCTAACCAGTGAATTAAATTGTACTATAATGTGGTTACTTTGAGCCATTCCTGATGATATGGGTGGGAAAACAAGTGCAGTATTTTGGCTATATTTTGACTTTAATTCCTGTCTGTGATTCATGTCACCAAGATCAAGTCACATTTCCTGCATCCTCGCCAAGTATGTTGGATATAGAATGCTGACACAGCTTTTGTTTTCTTGCATTGAAAAATCTACATCAGTATTTGAATATTTGAAATGAGCTTGAAATCAGAGGACAGTTTCTGCCCAGCTTTTGATAAATTGACAACTTTCATGAGTTGCTGTGACTAAATTCTGACTTTAGTCTTCAGGATAGTCTAGCAGCTATTTTGAAAAAATAAGGCAATTGCTTCACTAAGTCCGAGACAAATTTTCAAAACATATTTCCTAAAAATAAAGGACCTTCTGATCTTTGTAGTAAACAACTGTTCTGCTTTCTCTTTCCCCAAAACTTTGAGCCTTGATTAAATAGAAGAAATGATTCTCAGCCACTTTATATAATACATGAGACCACAGTTATTTGAAGTTCTATTTCTGTTAGTAGGCTAACAATTATAGCACAGTTATTCTGTTCTGATTGTGTTTTCTAGTAAGAAGGAAACATGCTAAAGACTCCATGGTGTTTGCAGTGGATTCATTTTCCAGAGGCCTGTCTGTTGTTTAAGCTCTCTGAGGTCACCACTGGAAACCAAGAGTTCAAAAGTTATTCCCCAGACTTGTGGAGTGTGACTGATATGACGAATGTTTAAGAGGCTAGTTACTTAGGGAGTAACGTTTTTTTTCCAGAGTCATTATGAATCTGTTTGCATTGTCCTGATGGGAAAGATTTCAGCTCTAGGGAAACCTAACAGCATTTAAATGTAGTGGGTATTTATTTGATGAATACTCAACTAGATATGGCTGACTTTATGATTATGGTTTATGGTATATATTTTTTTTCTAAATTATTTTGATGGATGTATTTTGTCGTCATCTCAGGACTGAATTCACCAGAACACAAATATTTACTTTTTGTAGTGTTTGAAATGTTCATCCTCGTGATAGCAGTGGATA